ATCTGTACAGTGTTATCATTTACAACAGTTTTACATTTAAAATCGGTAAATTAAAAAGAATCAAGCACTTTCCCTAAACTTTTTTTTCTTGGCTATATTATTAAATCACTTATGGCTATTTACAAATTTCAAATTCAGGCTACTGCTTCTTAAAGCATTATTGCCTAGGTTTTACATATTGACCTCCAATTTCTTAGAGTATTTAATTCCCAATTGTTTCTGAAACATTTTTGCAAATAATCTTTTTCATTTTTTTAAAGGTAAGGCAGTTAATCTTCAAGTAAGTGCAGTAGACGAATTTACCAGTACTAATCAGCAGTACAGTTCAGCTATCACTTGTATTACTTCAAGTCAGATCTCTGTAGAAGAGCCAGATGGAAAAGCAAGGTAACAGACAGGTGCTCAAAAATATCTCCCTAATTTGCTCCTGATCTGCAAGTGGACAACTGAAATTAAGGACACAATGGGGGTGGGAGGGAAAAATCAGTAAGATCTTGCTGAACTATTTATAATTACTTAAGGATAGCACTGCCTTTGGCTAGTTTTTCTATTGACAGGTTTTATAAAAAAAAAGTATCTGATATACATAAATTAAAAGTTAAAAAAAAGTCACACAACTTAATTGTATTTTTACATAAGTTTGGTCCAGAGAACACGTAGACCAACCAACACTTTAAAAACAGTCTTCAACTTTGCTTAAGCTTTCTTACTATTAACAGTTTATGAATCAAGCTAATCTCTTCAAATTGAAATGAAACATCCTCTAGAAGAGTTTGCATGAGACTATTTAACTCACAGTATCAAAATCTTTAAGTGGTTCACTCAAACACACTTCCAAGTCAAATTCACCTTCTGCTTGATAGTCAACATGTCTAACTTTGGTGGGAGTGCCAGAACAGGTATCCTGGAATACAAAGTCAGTTCATAAATAGCAGTTAAATACAGGTTTAATCACGCAATAATTCATTTCACTTTTGTAATTCATTTAGACCACTATGACAGAGGCCTACAAACACTTCAAAGGCCATACAAAAAAACAAGTCTAGTCTTAAGATTAAAGAGATTTAAAATGAAGGCTTCTGCCCATTCAACCACATTAAAACTTTACACAGATTCAATATGCAGAGAAACAAATCCAATAAGAAAAATATTACTAGATCTTTACTGGAGGTTACTGCTCAGCTGTACTAAATGCTTTCTGGATATAAAAGCAGCCTATTTCAAAAAGTCTGAGTGTGCCAAGAAAATTACATCCTATTTTAACATTAGATATTGCAATCTAAAGTATTATTTCCACTGTACATCATAGCTCAAAACTGACATGCTTTGAATAGATAAATTTTCTTTTGCAGGCTATGAAAAATGAGATTTGTCATTTGAGATGGTCACTTAAGTTTTAACTCTCTAAACTCGGACTACAGACAGATATTGGCTATAGCTGGGAAAATGTCTGAATTTAAAGATCGCTCAGCTTTATAAACAGTCTCTAAACACAGCAGATTATGGAATTTCTCATGTATTCAGGCTAGCCTGTATATAATTCTAAGTAATGGACCAATTATTAACAAATATTTATGCAAATGAGAGATATGCTTACATCATTGTCTTGACAGCTCGTTTGAGATTCAGTAGAATTGCTTCCAACAGATTCTGTCTCCATCTCACCAAGGTCAACAGGACTACTGTAAAATAATTAAAAAGGATACAGCTTAAAACAAGTTCAGTTTTTTGGTAGTAAGTTGCATTTTGTAGGTGCAGTTCTGAAAACGATGCAAGAGCAAAGTTACCTACAGAGATTATAGGGACAGCGGTGGCAAACTGGAGAGACCAAAGAGAATAGCAGGTCAACTCAAGACAGCCAAGAAGGCCAAGGACTAAATTAACATCTTCATATTGAGTGTTGGGTATGTGTCTTTGCCAAGTTGCAGTATTCAAAAAATGCCTCAATACAAATGGTGACAAATGTTACGGAAGAGCAAGGAATTTTTTTTCCAGACAAGGTTTTCATCAATTTTTGCAACATAAGATTTAATATCTGCTATACACAGAACTAGACCCCAGCATCTGAAGATAGACGAGTATTTCAACACCAATGTACACAGTAGGCGTCGGGCTGAAATACCAACTCCCCTCTCACCAATTACAAGTAAAAGGGAGCTAAAAGTAAGCCCCTTAGATCCCATTGCTCCACCTTGGTTTTAAAATTGGCATCACTGTTAGGGAAAACAGTAGTTTATTACCACAAAACTGTTTCCTGAGGAATGAGTTACATCTGTCTCTCCTTCATTTTGGATTTCCAGAGTTTTATTTTGGATGTTCCCTGATCAGTTTTATTGCTTTCTATAGATGAAAATAACTAGTTACATTATTCTACATCTTCTGGAGCACAATACCACAGTAGCTTGGCCACCACAACACTTGTGGCCATGCTTTTAAATTTAATGGTACCTTGAGATGATTTTACAAGTACTTCTTTCCTCCTCTCTGCTCAAAAAGAATAATTTATACCACTGTTCTTGAACTAGCAAGTGAGAAGGCTATGAGGCAGGTTCTCATACATTGTATTGCTCCAAGCTCTATATTCATGAGATCTGGCAATTAGTAAGAACTCTTCAGCACTGCTTCTACCACAGATGAATCTGCAGACTGCTCTGAAAGAATCAGCTTGCCTCAATGCTGTGTTACTTTCTTTCATAGAATGAGCAGAATCAGCTCTGATTTCACCCAGCGGACATACATTAAAATAATGAAGGATACATATGTATGCCCTTGCAAGGACACTGGGTAAGTCTAGGTAAGTTTAGTCCCACTAACTAGGTCCAAAAAGCTATTAGATATTTTGACAAAGAAGGAACTGAATAGCACTAAGTGTGGACAAATAACTAATGAAAACACTGAGCAATCACTGACTTGTCTCAAAAAGGGCTATGCTGGTTTTTGGTGGTTTTTTTGGGCGTTGGTTTTTGTTTGTTTTTTTTAAACACGAGACTTCATATATTAATTTCTATAAAGACATCTTGAATACTGTATACATACATTTCTTGCAGATCACATCCTTCCTCAGTAGGTGGATCCCAGGAATGCAGTGCAACTTTCCATAGTTTAATTTGCTGGTCCCATGACCTACGACTGTACTTCTTAAATTTATTTGGAGTTCTGGGATGAACTCCTGGTATACGATGGCATCTATTCAGATATGACATGAAAAATTCATTAGTGTTTTTCACACATACATAACATGTAGTTTTAAATGTTAAGACTGATCACCTGCTACATAGACTCATTACAACTAATTTAATATATTATTTACGAGAAAAGACTAGTGTGCAATTCCAGCACTCCAGTGAAAAGTTGTCAGCTCCTTAAGAACTTCTTAGTTTTTCCATCTTCGAGTCAAAAAAAGAAAGGATTAGTCTCAAAAACCTCATTCCAAACTTAAGAGGAACTGTAGTCCATTTTGTCTTTTAGTTTACTAATGAGAAAATAGACTGCAAAAAGCAGTTTCATTTCCTCTAGTTGACAAGCACAATCAAGAGAACTTTCACTTCCATTTCTGCAGCATGAGAAAGTTTGAAGGGATATTCCTCATGTACCAACTAGTTAAAAAAAAATTCCACGTCTCATTTGATTGTTAGTGTGACTTATTGGTAAAAAAAAAGTCTCAGAAAGTTTAATTTGTAGAGGCCTTCTATTTGAATGTGTCTCAGATATCAAGTTTAGTATGTTAATATGCTTATGACTTACAATCGAAGTTTTCCAGAAACTCAAGCAGCTTACCTAGGAACTTCTTTAATGTATCTATCATACGCAATTGTGTTTTTTCCGTAGTTTATCTGTTTTTGTCTTCTCATCAAAACCACTTCATCTGTCTCAAGTTCTACTGTCACAGTGGACTCCTTTGAATCGGAACTAAAGAAAAAAATTGTAGATTTGGGACTACTAGAAAAAAAGTGACACTCAAGCAAACTCACGTGTAGAAGATTATAAAGAAACATGTTAAAACTTTTCAAATGAATGCTTGGGCTGTTACTGAACTACAATGTTGGCGCAGACTTAAGATGAACTATTTCAAACTGAGCATTTTAAGACACAACATGGTACATGTGAAAATTCAGACCTATTGTCAGAGTTTTCCTCAGCTAAGCTAGAAATTTAACCTACCTTCCAGAAGAGTACTTCCTTTCTCTTGAAAATTCATTTATCAGGAGTTTTCTTCTGTATCTGTAAAGAGTTCAAATCAGTATTAAGAATATACGTACACAAATAGAACATGCAAGACTGTACTGTCACAGCTCACAGTTGATTTCACTTCTCAGCTAAGCAGTCTTGAAGAAGTCAACCCAGACACTGTAAACACCCTTCCACTATGGAACAGATGTTTCAGTTTTTCCCTAAAAAACCCCACCCAACATCCGAGGACTTTCTTTTCCTAAGACTTTTCCCTAAAAATCTTTTTATAGCAATGATATGCAAAACCAGTAATTAGATTTAATTACTTTGAATATCCTTTCACTAAGAAGTTCAGGAAAGGTTTCTTCCAAAAGGGGAAATATTTAGTGACACACATCAACTCTTCAGAGAGTATGCTACATCATTCCTGCAGGACTTAAGCCAAAGCTGACCTAAAAGCAGCAGACAAGAAGGTTGGTCTGATTTTACTATAATGGTGAAGTTAAAAATAAAAATCAATACAGATTGTACAAGACAACTACCATTTCACCTCCTTTCCCCACTTCATCTTAAACACCCACAGGTACCTTGCAATTTCTTTGTTAACACTGGTCCTCATTTCATCTTCTTCCACTGCAGTTCCCCAATCTGAACACCGGGAAAGGGGTCCAGGGCCTTCTGGTGTTGTAAAACTAGAAAGAAAGAAAAAAAGAGAGCCTCCGCATTAAAATTTTATTTTATTTTATTTCCCACCCCCAGCATCTCCCCCATAGACTGTTTGATAGCTATTTAATGATTCATTTATAGTAGTCACAATGGCTGTGAAAATCTTGTATTGTTTTATTAAAATGTCATCATTATAAAATTAAGCATCAGTTGAGAGTTCCACCTTGAGGTTGTGTGGTTTGGGGTTTGTGGTTTGTTTTTTCTTTCCTTAAAAATTTATGTAGACATCTATGGAAACATACCACTGTAGCACATAACCTAGCCTACACTTTCAACAACTTTAAGCTGGTGTTCTTCAGAAAATAGTATGTGAAATAACAACTTTACTCATTTACTCACTTATTTTCACTCCACTAAATGAGTTAAATATTTATTCTTTCATGATTGCAGACTCATTAGCTATATAAGAGACAAAAGTTAGAATACAGAATTAAACTGTACAGCTAATTAATTAAAATTACATGACAGCACCAGGAGTTTCTCCATGTGAAAATATACCTATTAGAGAAGGCAAAGGCATAAAAAAAAAGCAGTCAATCTTTAGCTAGTAAACTGAGATTTGCTATGACTTTGCAAACTGATACTTAACAACTTTATTGCAGCCCATTAGCATCACGAGCAGATTCAGACTGTTGCAGGGGAATAAGCTCATATCTCTTCCCAGCCATCAACAGTTGCCTACATTCAGATTATTAAACAAGTTTTCCAGTTTCTGTCTTCCTGATGACCAATCCTCCTAAAGTACAAACTCAAAATCGTATGCTACAGACCAGAGCTTTTTCAGTAGCTCTGGAAATGCTCTGGAGACTTACCAGGATTCTGTGCAGAGAAGTCCCTCGAAGTCAGGGAATTAGATCCATCTGCGCTAAAACCAGTTCCAACTCCCTCCCTACTCCCAGCTCAGAAATCAGCTTGCACTACGTTGAAGTTTTTATTAAATTCAAACTAAAAGCTCTTTTTAGATGAAACCCAGTTACCAACTCAGAAAAATTAAAAATCCATAGCAAACAGTACAGGTCCCTCTGCAAACACCTGTTCAACCTCCAAAGATTTTTAGCATTTGCTTATACCTATTTCTAACTTTGCAGAAAATGCAGGGCATATTCAATTACCGCTCTCCCATAGTAGAAAACAGCACAATCCCAGAACTACCCAGTTAGTGCCACCATCTGAGCTTTTTCCTCAACACTGTGTCATACCTTTTCATACTTGTTTGATTCTGTGCCTGTGCTGCATATACAGAGAATCAGAGAGCTGGTGGGAGGCTCTACAGCTTTTTCTCTTGATTAATTTGCTCTGGTGCCAGACATACTGAGCTTAGCCATCAGGACTCTGATCCGCGCGTGCCATTTCACACTTGGTGAGCAGCTCTGGTGCTGTGCTAGGACTGCAAATGGTGCTCAAACTCTGCCAGAGGTGCAGAAAAACAAGGCTATAACTGCCCATCCCTGCCCCCCCCCAAGCCCTGACTGAACTTGTTGTACGACCCAGCCTCCATTCTGGTCCTCTTCCCATTCTAAAATTTTATTTTGACAATGTTGAATTTGCATAAACAAAAACTAGTTTTAGCGCAGGAAAAGAATAACTTCAATGAGAGCTGAATTAATGCTGTTTAACATCTTTGTCGGCAAGACAGACAGTGGGATGGAGTGCACCCTCAGCAAGTTTGTCGACGACACCAAGCTGTGTGGTGTGGTCGACACGCTGGAGGGAAGGGATGCCATCCAGAGGGACCTTCACAGGCTTGAGAAGTGGGCCTGTGCGAACCTCATGAAGTTCAGCAAGGCCAAGTGCAAGGTCCTGCACATGGGTGAGGGCAACCCCAAGCACAAATACAGGCTGAGTGGAGAATGAATTGAGAGCAGCCCTGAGGAGGACGACTTGAGGGTCCTGGTTTACATGGACCTGTTGGAGCGAGTCCAGAGGAGGTCACAAAGGTGATCTGAGGGCTGGAGCACCTCTCCTATGAAGACAGGCTGAGAGAGTTGGGGTTGTTTTGCCTGGAGAAGAGAAGGCTCCAGGGAGACCTTACTGCAGCCTTCCAGTACCTGAAGGGGGCCTACAAGAAAGCCGGGGAGGGACTTTTTACAAGGGCATGGAGTGATAGGGGTAATAGCTTTAAAAAGGAAGAGGGAAGATTTAGATGAGATATTAGGAAGAAATTCTTCACGGTGAGGGTGGTGAGGCACAGACACAGATTGCCCAGAGAAGCTGTGGATGCCCCATCCCTGGAGGTGTTCAAGACGACCAGGTTGGATGGGGCTTTGAGCAACCTGGTCTGGTGGAAGGTGTCCCTGCCCATGGCAGGGTGCTTGGAACTGGATGGTCTTTAAAGTCCCTTCCAACCCAAACCATTCTTTGATTCCAAACTAAACCAGAAAGTATGCCTGTTCAGTTCAATACTGGAAGACACAGAAAAGCATTGCTTATTTAGGTTGAAACTGACGAAGCAATCTGTAAAGTTTCATCCTTGTACTCTTATTCAAACATGCTTCCTGAAATGAAATTCATTTACTCTGGACATTGTGATTCGAGCTGTTGACCAATGTCTTCCCTGCTTATTATCAGCAAAGAAAAATGGGTAGTTACAGGGCACAACTCATCTCATTTTAGATTAGAAATCTAGATTGAATCAACTGGGCTGCAGGCCACAACTCCCATCGACTGATAAAAGGGATTAAAGGGACCATGGCACGAATAGCTCAGGTGTAGACAGTGATATAAAATAAGATACTTTCACTAAACTGAAGTTAACCTGTGCTAGAAAATAGTAAGGAAGGCAGCAAGCAACAGTATTACCAGAGTGACCTCAGAAGTGGACGCCACCACACATGTACAGACATACTAGATACAACTTCTCAAGATGGTCTGTACTGCCTTCAGAAATATGAAGACAGATGACTTAAGACTTGAATTTCTCTCATCTCATTTAATTTTATCACAACAGTATGTACAGCCTATACCCACAAACATAATTGGCTTGTGCAGTTATTGCTTGATGATAAGTGGCAGTAAGCAAGCACGAAATAGGACAGAAAATTACGAAAAATATAATCCAAGGCATAAAAATGAAAAAATGTTTAATCTTGGAGCCACTTCTGAAGAGAAGAACACTGCACTAGATTCTTTCCCTCCTTTAAGACCAGCTATTTATGGTTGATGAGCGATTTATAAATAGGCAGGTGTTAAAATATATATAGTCAATTCAACAGCTCCTGATGAACAAAAAGAGCAGAAAGTTGTTTTTATTGCAAGCACTGCCTACCTGTCCGGTCTGTTGTCAGAAGGCCTGTACTCGTTTTCATCAAAAACGGATGAATCGGATTCATTCTGCTTTCTCCGCTTTCCATCTGCACCGCGTTTCCTTCCTTGGGACCAGCGAGGCGGAGGCTGTGGGCTGGGAGCAGACAAGCCGAGACAACGTGAGCATACTAGGTACTTTTATTGACCTCTTTGAAAGATCATAATGATACTAAGGGAACTAGAGAGTTAATCTTAGAAACACAAGCCTGTTACAATGGTATGCAGTAGTGTGTAACTTGGTACCAGTGCATGAGCACATCTGGCATAAAAGTGATAACAAGACCCTTAAATCAAGGACGTTGCGCTCATTATCAGGGACTGCACTTCAAGGCAGGAACTCTTAAATCATTACCAAAGACCTTGTTAGGAGAACAGGACCTGCGACTGCTGTCAATCAAGAAAAAGGAAGATGAGAGCTAAAAGTTCAGCAAAAGGACATGGTGATGAAGAAGAGTGGAAGAAGTAAAAGAACACCAGATGTCTCTGAAGACCCCCAAAAGGACTAAAATGGACATACGGAAATGGGAGTTGCCTATGATAATGAGTTCCGGGAAAATTGTTAATATGTTAATCACCTCTTGCAAGTCTTATGAATATGTATAAAAACTAAAAATATAAGCCTGTAACTAACACAAGCACGGTATGCACGCTGGGTGGAAGGATCCCCCGTGCATCCAGCGCTGCTAATACAGAATACTGAATCACTGCTAAATTTGATGTTTAATTTCTTGGAATCAACCACATGCAGACATCGTAGTTTATTCACTAATTTTACTTCAACAAATCAAGCTTAGCGACACAAGCGGGTGTGGGCCTTAAGAGTCCCTCAGAAGGAGGCTCTCCCACGCAAGGAAACTCCACCGTTAACGGCCCCACGCCCTGCCCCTCACCGCCCGCCCCTACAGACAACGGGGGGCACAGGAGACCCAGGCGTTTACACCTCTTTCCCCCCTGCGGGAGCTTCAGCCCCGCTTCGCTTTCACTGGGGGTCCCGCACCTCAGCGAGGGGCGACCGGCTGCCCCACGGGCGAACATGGCGGACCCCGGGCGGCGCAACGGCCCCTTTAGGG